GTTGGTTCACATCTTGGACAACATTCACATGGAGGAGTGACCACCTTTTGCCAAGGCTTACATTTTGGTTTGGCGCACAATACTTTTGGACAATTTTGTGGTTTCTTACAATTAACATCTGGGACGCATTGTGGACAACATTTGCAAGGCAAAGTTTTTGCTACCTGACCACGAGGGCATTGTGGAAATGCACAGTCGTATAATTGGCAATCACTGGGAGTTAGGCAATCCTCTGGAACACAGACCGGACAACAATTGCATGGAAATTTTTTTGATACTTCACCTTTTTTACAAAGAGGTCTGGGACATAAGATCTTTGTACATAATTCCGGTTTTTGGCATTGGCTAGGCTTACATATTGGACAACATTGACCAGGAGGTACGACAAGCTTTTGCCATGGTTGACATTCGGGTTTAGTACATTGTATTGCTGCGCACTGAGGCTGTTCGTTGTCATCTGGAACACATTCTGGACAACATTTGCAAGGCAACGTCTTCGCGATCGTACCTGGTTTACATAAAGGCAATGCGCATCTTACTGTTGAACATATTTCTGGTGTTTGACATGGTGTTAACGATGAACTATTACGACTTTGTATTAAATTAACCAAATTACACGAAATGTACATAAAAACATATAATATTAAATACATTATTTTCATATTTTTGTATAAACAGTCTGAACAACAAATTCGATATAAATGAATTTTAATATGACTTTAATGTTTATATAATGCCTTGCATGCATATAATTAGTTTAGAGCTATTTATAAATGAAGATAACCCATATGTATACAGTGTGCTACTAAAAATGAAAGTATTATAAATATCCCATAATCATGTGCCTATGTGGATCAAAAAATTGTGTTTAACTAAATCATTAATTCACGGAACATACCATAATCTAAGACACTTAAATCTAGACGTTAAAGCTTGAGGAGGTGCATTCGAATGCCATAAAAACCATCCCAATATTACACAAAAATCTTCCAAAACAGTATATTGAAAAAATCATATACTTTCCAGCATAACAATTCTTTGAATATAGTCAATTATTTAATGCTAGACAATGGGCGTATTAGTAAAAGTATTTTTTTTTAAATGATAACACAAAATCTAATTGTTACGTTAATTTATAAAAAAAAAGAGAAAACAGAACTATTGAACGTAATATATATAATTCAACTCGAAAATCAAAGGTATCAGAGACCAGAGTGACACAGTTACAGTTACACCGACTAGCCCAATTTCACGGTGTGGGATTTATATCGTGCCAGAACCTTTTCGGGTGAATAAAAGTACAAAATCCTTCGACGGATCGAACTCTGATACTTACCTCGCAAATCCAATTTAATATAATAATCCCCAAGTCAGATATATGCACATTCAGCGACACTAAATAAAAGAGACTGTGTAGACTAACCTTTCTAGGTCCAGGATTCACTGGACGATACTCCTTCTATATCTTTTAAATAAGGGAAAAATATTAGGTTGAAGAAAATTCTGAAAGTTCTCCCAAACAGATTTTAATAGAAAAATTCCTTTGTGCCTTCTCGGGTAAATTTATTACAGTTTCTTACTTGGTTTGGTTCCTATTGTTCGAACAATCGGAGCCAGGTTATCTACGCTAGTCTACAAAAACAAAGATCAGTATATATGGTTTAGAACAGGTTTACATTGGGTTTACATAGAAAACTTGATTCTTACAAAATAAACAGACAAAAGGTCAATATCACAGGTTACCCAAGTACAATATAATAAAATAAAATGGTTTATAGATTCTAAAATACAACTAAAACAAAAATAGGTCCACGAGTGACCTCACCCTATGGTATAAAATAAACAAATTATCCATGATTATTGAAAGAACAATATTGGGTAACAAATAAACTGATTAAAGTTTCAAAAACCTGTCTAGGAGAAAAAATTTTAACCGAAGTTATGAAGTTGACTATAACTATGAAAATATACTCATTTGAGCAATATAAAAGAATAATGTAATGTAACAAAAAACAAGGGTTCACTTAACTCTCGCTCGCGATTCACCAGCGCTCCAAATTGGACGAGCCAACGAACCCACAGCCATCACTTGAGGAGGAAATGAACTTCTTTATTTTACCATCAACAATGATATTCAAAGATGGTGGGAAGGACGGATGACCCAACCTCTTGGCCAGCAAACTATAAACCTCGGGCTCCATTAAATAAAATTTTATTGAGGTTAAGACTCCAACGGAATCGACACCACGGATATGTAAACCCAACCCAAAGGTTTGAATATTTCGTTCAATAATGATTCCGGGCGAAGGCACCATGAGGTGAAATGGCGTCGTAAAGTAAATTACGAGTTTTAATATCGCCAACTTGGATAAATCGTAAATACACCACTTACAAATCTCTACAAATACTTTTAACTCACGAATTGTATATAGCCGAAATCAGACAAATCCGGGACGCCCCGATGATAATAAATTTACTTTTTCCGACACGCCCAACATAGGGCGCGGCCATTTTGAACCCTGTGACACAGTTTACAGCTAAAGAATCAGATCGCTCACTCTGCGTCGGCACTTTTGATCTCAATGTTTCAGTTTATACACTGTGCAACTCGGATAATACAATATATGAAAACCGCCTATAATAAAACAGCAGTCTTCTGCGTATTATGAATTTGTATCCCTGAAGTGGATGTTATTTTAGAACTTCCAACTGGTCCGAGTGAGCTAACTGATTCTTTAGCAATAAACTGTGACTCCAAAAATAATATTCACTGACACTCACAGCAGTAAGCAAAATATCAGGTGCGTTTTAATCATCTGCTTCTGCTTCAGGAATTGTCGGTTTAGTCGTTTTAACCTGTCAGATTAAAACAAGAAAACCGACAATTCCGAAGCAGAAGTGGATGATTAATAAGCACCTATTAAAAATATCAAAAAGGTAAATCAAACGAGGGTGGTCCTTAGGATCTCACAAGAGTATTTTATTACGACCGGTTTCGAGGATCAAATCCTCATCATCAGGTAAGGTCTAAAAATAGAGAGGAAAAACGAATGAGCTCATAACTAATTTTTCAGCACATTACTTCAAAAAAATAATTAACCAAATCAATAGTTTTTCTCTCTTTTCATTTTAACACCATTTCCTTTTTCCGTTGATTGTTACCAACTTCTTAATTTGAATATTAGTACATATAAAATTATTTTCCAACGCTAATGCTAGACTCTACTTTTAACAATAATAATTTATTTATTTCATTTTGTTTATTACGTACAAATTCAAACAATTCATTTTATAAACCTATATTATTAAGAAACATTTATTTTTTCGCCAACGCCATCTATTAGCCGATGGTCAAAATATTTAAATTTGACAACCTCTAAACTGTTATCTTAAATATTAGAATGGTTAATTCGTCTATTTATATCTCGAGGGCGTTAATCGGTTATTTAATCTAAATAAAATTTAATTCCTGTAGAATTATAAACACTTGTCCAAGAACCCATTTTAGTGCTTGTAGGGTTTTTTAAAAAGTTTTTAAATTTGTTTGTCTTAATTGTTCGTCCGTTCGTGAAATATTTTAATAATTTTAATTAATAGTTTTAGACCTACTTTTGTTTATGTGTTTTGACATCAACTTTTTGTCGCAACTATTGTTTTTTTATATTTTTTTATGTATTTTAAAAAATACTCGCATACTTGTTTTTACACCGACCCTGGGATAATTCTCTTAGCTTAGTCTTAAATAGATGAGTAATTACGGGTGAGTTCTTGATATTTGACAACTTTCATATTAAAATGTTTAAACCCACTTATTAGTTATGAGCTCATTCGTTTTTTACTCTCTATTTTTAGACCTTACCTGATGATGAGGATTTGATCCTCGAAACCGGTCGTAATAAAATACTCTTGTGAGATCCTAAGGACCACCCTCGTTTGATTTACCTTTTTGAACTTATAACTCACACATGGCTACCACCTTCAACTTTAATTTTATTAAAAATATTGCGCCAAGATGTAGACAACACGTAATAAGGGATCAAAATGGCAGAGTTTTCTATCTTCTTTTAAAGGGCACTCAGAAAGCTGCGCAGTGCGACCATTCTCCGTATAGTAAAAGAAAATCAAAGTATGTGGCTCGGTCAGAAAACTTTTTCCCCTTCCCCTCCAGAATGCGTGAAGTTTCAACTCTTCACCAATTATATTGAAAGGCCTTGAATACCCAAGGGTATCGAGACATTCTAATTGTAAAATTTGCAACAGCCAAACATTATTTCCCTTGCCCCAGACTAAGGTGACTGATCCAGTAATGGTCACTGACCCAGTAATGGTCACCTTTTTGACTAAAATGGTGAAAACAAGCAAAGTATTTATTTTTACTCGATATCGATTTTGTTATATCTCTATTAAAGCACCTGGCTTGATGTGCTGAAATACCAGACCGCTAACTTCACTCCACTGACAACTGTCAAGTAAAATCTACATGGTGAAATAGAACCAGCTTATATTTTTCATGTTTTAATAGGCGGAACGTTTATAGTTTTGTAGCTGTAAAACATAATACACATAAATATATACATACACAGTACTTATTATTTTGTATTAGCCATAGCCGAGCTTTTACAGCAAACATGTAGCAATTACGATATCCCCCGGTTCGGCTAATATCCCACCACCATTTCTTCTCATTGTAGTCGACGACTGGCTGTTGCCTTGTTGCCATTTCATTAACGTGTATACAAGTCGTATGCCTAACACGAAAAAATAAGTATAAGTAAAGTAAGTAGTTACATGCATGTTTGAATGTGTAAGTAGTCGTAGATAAAGTATAGTACGTAATGCATATTATAAAGCAATTACACATTCAAGAAATTAACTTTACTATTCGTGCGGCATATGCGTTTTGCAACACTTATTACGTAATACGCTACTATTGTATTTCTAATAAAAAATATTAATAATTAAAAAAAGCTACGATTTTAAGTAGAACAAACTTTTTATTAGGAAGATTAAATTATTGTTAAAAATTTCTAAATAATTAAAAGTAAAACCTTATTTATAGACTGTTCCTTTTTGATAGTAGCATACAGATTGGACATCATTTACACCTAGGAGTTATGAGAATCTGCCAAGGTTTACAAACTGATTTAATGCAGAAAACTTGAGCACATTCTTCTTCGCCTAAACAGTTCTTAGGCACACATTGGTAACAACATTTACATGATAGTTTTTTAGCCACCAATCCTTTTGCACACATCGGCATTGTGCAACGCACTAACATACAATCTAACATTCTCTAGGTTCACATATTGGACAACATTGACCAGGAGGTACAACAAGATTCTGCCCTGGCTGACATTCGGGTCTAGTACATTGTACTGCTGCACATTGGGGCTGTTCGTTGCCATCTGGAACGCATTCAGGGCAACATTTGCAAGGCAACGTTATAGCTGTCGTACCTGGTTCACATTCAGGAAATGCGCATCTTACTGTTGAACATATTTCTGGTGTTTGGCATTCTCTAGGCTCACATATTGGACAACATTGACCAGGAGGTACGACAAGATTCTGCCCTGGCTGACATTCTGGTCTAGTACATTGAACTGCTGCGCATTGGGGCTGTTCGTTTTCATCTGAGACACATTCAGGGCAACATTTGCAAGGCAAAGTTTTTGATACCTGACCATGAGGGCATTCTTTCGGAATTGCGCAGTCAACTAATTCGCAGTCACTGGGAGTTTGGCAATCCTCTGGAACACAGACTGGACAACATTGACCAGGAGGTACGACAAGATTCTGCCCTGACTGACATTCGGGTCTAGTACATTGTACTGCTGCACATTGGGGCTGTTCGTTTCCATCTGGAACGCATTCAGGGCAACATTTGCAAGGCAACGTTATAGCTGTCGTACCTGGTTCACATACAGGAAATGCGCATCTTACTGTTGAACATATTTCTGGTGTTTGGCATTCTCTAGGCTCACATATTGGACAACATTGACCAGGAGGTACGACAAGATTCTGTCCTGGCTGACATTCGGGTCTAGTACATTGAACTGCTGCGCATTGGGGCTGTTCGTTTTCATCTGAGACACATTCAGGGCAACATTTGCAAGGCAAAGTTTTTGATACCTGACCATGAGGGCATTCTTTCGGAATTGCGCAGTCAACTAATTCGCAGTCACTGGGAGTTTGGCAATCCTCTGGAACACAGACTGGACAACATTGACCAGGAGGTACGACAAGATTCTGCCCTGACTGACATTCGGGTCTAGTACATTGTTCTGCTGCACATTGAGGCTGTTCGTTTCCATCTGGAACGCATTCAGGGCAACATTTGCAAGGCAACGTTATAGCTGTTGTACCTGGTTCACATACAGGAAATGCGCATCTTACTGTTGAACATATTTCTGGTGTTTGGCATTCTCTAGGCTCACATATTGGACAACATTGACCAGGAGGTACGACAAGATTCTGCCCTGGCTGACATTCGGGTCTAGTACATTGAACTGCTGCGCATTGGGGCTGTTCGTTTTCATCTGAGACACATTCAGGGCAACATTTGCAAGGCAAAGTTTTTGATACCTGACCATGAGGGCATTCTTTCGGAATTGCGCAGTCAACTAATTCGCAGTCACTGGGAATTTGGCAATCCTCTGGAACACAGACTGGACAACATTGACCAGGAGGTACGACAAGATTCTGCCCTGACTGACATTCGGGTCTAGTACATTGTACTGCTGCACATTGGGGCTGTTCGTTGCCATCTGGAACGCATTCAGGGCAACATTTGCAAGGCAACGTTATAGCTGTCGTACCTGGTTCACATTCAGGAAATGCGCATCTTACTGTTGAACATATTTCTGGTGTTTGGCATTCTCTAGGCTCACATATTGGACAACATTGACCAGGAGGTACGACAAGATTCTGCCCTGGCTGACATTCGGGTCTAGTACATTGAACTGCTGCGCATTGGGGCTGTTCGTTTTCATCTGAGACACATTCAGGGCAACATTTGCAAGGCAAAGTTTTTGATACCTGACCATGAGGGCATTCTTTTGGATATGCACAGTCGTATAAATTGCAATCACTAGGAGTTAGGCAATCCTCTGGAACACAGACTGGACAACAATTGCATGGAAATTTTTTTGCTACTTCACCTTTTTTACAAAGAGGTCTGGGACATACGTTCCTTGGACATAATTCAGGTTTTTGGCATTCGCTAGGCTCGCATATTGGACAACATTGACCAGAAGGTACAACAAGCTTCTGCCATGGCTGACATTCGGGTCTAGTACATTGTACTGCTGCACACTGAGGCTGCTCGTTGCCATCTGGGACACACTCGGGGCAACATTTGCAAGGCAACGTTTTTGCTATTGTACCTGGTTCACATTCAGGCCATGCGCATCTAACTCTTGAACATATTTCAGGTGTTTGACATGGTTTTATCAATGAACACTTACGACTTTGTATTAAATTAACCGAATTACACGAAATGTATATAAAAATATATATTAAATAAATGATCTTCATTTTTATTTTGTAAAAATTGTTTAAAGAACAAATTTGAAATAAATAATTTTAAATCTGACTAATCTTTATATAATGTTTCGCATGTCTATATTTAGTGTAATATTATTTAAAAATGAGATAACCGATATCTATACAGTGTGCTACTAAAAATGAAAGTATTATAATTATACGATATTCAATTATGTGGATCTAAAAATTGGGAATATTTTTAATATTTAGTTTACTGAAATTTAGAGTTCATGAATTCGAAAGTATTAAAAATATCATTTACGTTTTTTTTTTTCAATCTATAAGCTATACCCATCAAATTTGACATATTTAGATAACTTTAATTATTTTCACGTTTTCTTAACCAAAAACTTTCTTGGCTGATTCGAATTACTTAAAATTCGAATGCTTGAGTAATTTTTTTCTATATTTTGAAAAACTTAAAAAGCGTTTTGTGTGAATCAAAAACTTTTGCTTCTTCTATACCTATTGTAAGTGAAACATTTGTTTTCTTTAGTAGTGATAACCCATAAATCCAATTTGTATTTGAAATTTCTATGCTTGGTATATTCCACAGTTTCAAATTTTTAAGCATTAGCACCTTCATCTGATGAAACTGAATCCATGTTAAGATTTTTAATTTTAATATTTTTATGTTTACCTAAGCCCATCGCCTGTTATTTGAGAAATTTCTACACTTACATCAAAAGTAGCAGAACCTGTTTTTATTGTTATATACGTCTAGAAGCAAATTACTTAATTGCCAGCAAAAAACTAAAAATCCATCGTTAAGTACTTTTAATTTGACAGGTTACACGACAACTTCCACCACTAGGACATAGTACATGTTGTTTAACCTCCTTCCCTGTACCCTACTACGATTAGCAAGCAAAAAGAAAGGCGTAATACTTTTTATAGTTAGATGAGGGACCAGGGGCGGTTTCTCCAATGATTCATTTGTGCAGTGAACACCCAGTTAAATTTCATAAACACACATTATTTTAATATTACATAAATAACATAAAAATATAAACTTAATTTTAAAATTTTTATTTTTATACGTGTTAATCTATATTTCTTGGTACATCATTGCCCTCTTGCTAATCGCGTCTCTGTGGTACAGTATACCTAAGTATTCGGTGTCTGTGGCGCATTATGAAGAGTGAGTCTAACACTAATGAGACGATTTGGCGAATATTTATAGCTAAAAAGAGAAGACAACATGCCAACAGATCCTTCAAACTATGAAATAACACACTTAATTGGCGCGCTGCTCACAAACAAGGCTGTCAAACCATAATTGCCAGTCTAGTACAACAATCGTACTAGATGTCGTACTTTCTGCGTGCACCAGTGTATATTCTGTACCAAATCAAACAAACTGTAATTCCGTCATTCCTGTCATTCCTCTACTATAAAACGCCTTTAATAAAATTAAGATTATTTTATTTGTGCTTATTTAAAAAAATGTGTTTAATTAAGAACTGTGAGAGTAATAAATTTAAAGCATGTGTGTTAATCTAACGATTGTTCCCAAAAAAATTTTTTAAGGCAAGGTAAGTAAAAGTATTTTTAAAGTTGTTGTTTTATTTAACTATAATAAAGTTTTACGAATCTAATTTGTTTTATATTTTGTTTCAGTATCTAAGACCATCCAAAGACTACTACAAAATGGTATATTTTGTATCCAATTATAAATACTATGAAGTAAGAAGTAAGCAAAAAAATTATAATTTTTTTGTTTCCCACAAAACCCGCTAATAGGTAAGATTTGATTATTCTGATAAGGTAACTACTTGACATCATTATGGAAATGGAAATGTACAATAAAAGTTTGATAAAGATAAAGAGATAAATGGTTTTTCACTAAAAGTCTGAATCGGAAAAAGGGATCAACCAGTTAATTTAATTTACTCGATGAGAAATTTTACCTTAGAAAGTTATGTTTGCCTGTAATTATCAATCGTGTTACCCTCTGTTTTTTATTGCCTTGTTTGTGTAATTTAATATTTTCAAAAATATTAGATGTTATGGTAATATGGATCACCGCAGGTATTAAATAAAAATGGTAATGAAGTATGTCTAGAAAATAGCAATAAGTATCAAATATAAATTGTGATTATGATTAGGCACTTAACAGGTCACATCCCACATAACTACATGCTTTGGGTAATCAATCCTATCCTGAACACAAATTTAGGATAGGTTTGGCAGATTCCCCATTCTGTAGTTGTAGGCAATTGGGTAATTTACAACATTTAATCTTGAGCTGCCCTAATTTTTAAAATCTAAATGAAGAATTTTACAAGAACCTGCAATTAACAGGAGCAACACTCCCCACCAACTTAGATGCGCTTTTATGTTCAAAAAATATAAAACTGTACTATGTTATATATGAACATTTGAAAAAAATGAATCAAGATATTTAAAAAAAAAAATTAATAAAAACAAAACAAAAAAAAACAAAAAAAAAAACAAGAAAAAAAGAAGAAAAAAAGAAGAAAAAAGAAAAAAAAATAAATACATATAAAAAAAGAATTCGTCGCCTAAAATATAATTATGTATAATTAATTGTATCACAACTGTTTTAACTGTTGTTTAATTGTTAATATGATGAAAATTTTGTACTTTTAATAGATTTTAGGTTCCTTTATTATTAATTATTGTATTGTTGTAATTTGTGAAAATTGTAAGTAGGTTTAGATTCGTTTTAATAACATTAGCTCTGGCCAATTGATCTGAGATCAAGGCCATCATACAAAACACACACACACACACACACCAATAATACCAGTGTCTCAGGTGACTAAATTTATGCCATTTTTGCTAAAAGTGACAATAACTTCACTAGTACCTTTAAAACAATGTAACTGACCTATTTGATAGTCAACAGATACGAAAGTCGCATGGATAAAGGATATTTCAAGTAATTTTTAATCAAGAAACATTTTTTTTTGTGAAATATAAGATACATTAAATTATTCCTATTTGCACAAACATTTTTGGGACACTCTATAAAAGGTTCGGAAACAAAATGTATATAATTATATAATTTTATTATAATATTTACAATGCCAATATTTACAATTTGAATATATTTGGCGAAAAATTCTGACTAATTAAAAGTGATTTAATGATTGTGATAAAAAAATAAGTAGGTATTCTTAAAAGGACAATGGCCTTTAAAGTTTGTTGGTATTATTTATTTAAATAAATTTACATATAATTAACTATACTTAGGCATTAAGATTAGCTCCTTGGTAACTGCTAATTAAAAAAAATCCCCGGACTCATGAAATATTGTTGTGTAATTGATAATATTGGAAGTAAATAATCTAGCAAATTTTTTTAGAATATGCAAAGTGAGTGAGTATATTTGAAACCATTTTAAAGACTTTCAACTTAAAAAAAAAATATTTGAAATATCAATGTCGGGTCCTCAGTCCATTAAAAAACTTTTTTTATGTTATTATAAGCAATATGCTTAAAAAGATCAATTTTTATTTTCAATTGCGCGTCTTACGCTACAATTGGATGTATTAATGACGTCACCACTTTTGTGTACATGACGTCATCGATTTTTTTTAATAGAACAACATATTTTTCTCTTAATTTCCTATTAATAGCCGATTAAAAATATATATGTAATACTAATGGTCCCAAATCATTGGTTTGTGAGTTAGAAGCAAATGTCATATCAGAAATTTTGATTTTAAGGTGGCAGTTTAAAACGACCTCCTCCGCGATCCGGAGCAGTTACATTGTTACATATCTTATATTCAAACCCGTAATAACAGAAATAAACCAAAAACGTTCTCAAAACTATTTTCCCTAATTTGGACGGAAGCTTCTGCTACTGACTCTCAGGTGATCGCATTTTATACACTCGACGGATATATTGAGGTGATGCCGATCCATATTATAAATCTCGATATGTCTTATTTTTTTCGTAGAAATAGTATTGGCACAAAAATATTTTATTATAATGCATCTTTGTTTTAAAAATAACGGAATTTAGAAATGGAAGGTAGCTGAAGCTTAATATTAGCACTATACCAGGTCATTCTATATGGGCGGAACACTTGATTTATGACTTAACTATGACTTGTACGAAAATTTGTCTTAGATAATTGTTTTTGTACATTTTATGTACTATTAATTGATGTTTACAGATTTCCCGCATACGTAATGATTTTCAAGATATGACGTCATCGGACAATATTTTAAATGAATCACCCTGTATTTATATTTTTTTTCGAGTTCGTATGATCTGTCTGATTTCATCAATGGTACATTAAGTGGGTCCCAGACTTATTTAAAATATTGCCCGATGACGTCATATCTTGAAAACCATTACGTATGCGGGAAATCTGTAAACGTCAATAAATAGTACATAAAATGTACAAAAACTTTTATATAAGTCAAATTATCGTACAAGTCATAGTTAAGCCATAAATCAAGTGTTCCGCCCATATAGAATGACCCGTTCCGCCCATATAGAATGACCCTGTATATCAAGCCAATGTAAAGGACGTGTATTTTTTAATTACGACAAGCATTAGGTTTTACATGATAATACTAATAGGATATTTTGAAGATGCTCCAAAAGAATTACTATATTTTTTTATCTCAATATATTTTTTAAAAGGAGTCACTACCAGGCGTATTGATTATACGATGCTCTTTGACATTAGTATACCACGAAAATAATATTAAAAAATAATATGATCTAACTCTGTACGAAATATACAGTATTCCAATTATTCGTTATCTTTCTCTACTTTGGTATAGACGAGCTAGTCGCTTACAACATGTAGAAGCAGAAGAAATTAGGAAGAGGCAGTGTCGTCGTGATGTGTGTTTATTATTTAAATATTGGTTAGTTTGTTTAAATTTTTCTATTTATAGAATTGTTTGGAAAAAATTACTAACCAATAATTTTTTGTACTTCCAATCAAAGATATTTGAAAATAAATATTTGGAAATAATAGTCAACTTCACACCAATCTGATACTTTTAAAATATTTAAATATTTATC